GAAGAAGCCACCGTCGAAGAAGAAACTCTACTCGGTTTTGAGAAGGGAAATTATGAAGCTCTTGGTGAAGTTACTACCACTGATGTGACTGTTACCGATGATGGGACATTTACTGATGAAGCGGATGAACCCCACATGAAGCAGAAGCCAATGAGAATTGTAATTTTGTGTTTGTAATTCTGTACATTTTAATTAAGTTATTGTTATTGGTTTATTATATGTGGTTATTGTTCGGGACGAACAATATTAAGGAGGAGGCAGTGTTGCGTCAGCGAGTCACATGACTAGTGTGACGCCACGTTTCTAGAACTATCCCGTACCTTGGCGAATGCTCTAGTATTTACTAGATATAGGGTAGTCTGGTATATAAAAGAGGGTGACAACGTGATGGGAGAATAATGTAATGTGTGTGTGTGAAGATAGTGAGTAATTGAACTGCAGTCAGAAGTATTATTGACGTTCATTGATATAGCGTTTGTTTTAGCGCGATTGTTGAAAATAAGTGTATCATAAAGTTGTATTCGGAAAGAATAAACCAGTTTTATTAAGTAAAAAACTTGTGTCGCTAAAGTTTCGTCGGAATGAAGTTACGGAAAGTTAATTAACAAACGGAGACGTAACAAAATGTATAAAACAAGAAGATGCTGAAAGTTCATTCGGTAGAAAAATATGTGTTTCATGAGGAATTGAGAATGTTAGAACCACTTTTATAGGAAATATATATTGATGAATATCACACCAGAATAGTTCATACACAGAAATAATATTTGTAAAAAGAATCCACATGGACCACTTTTTATTATGTGTTGTAAATGTCTTTTAATTCTTTGACAGATTGATGTCCATGTTTGTTTTGGATGATTTTACTGACAACGATTTAGTAAACGTTGTGCCATATGGAGATGAGATCTATGCCCATACTGAAACTCCATTTATTCATCGAATTGATCCTAACACCTTAGAAACTTTGGATAGGGTACGTAAATGAGTACTGATTTTAAAAGATGTGTCACATTATAAATACAAGTAAAATAGGAACTTAGCAGATTAATTACTATATATATACTAAATAATAATGGTTACCATGATAATGATACATGATTACTTAGACCATATAGTGCCTTCTTTTACTACCTGTGCAAGCAAACTAGGAATTTAGAAGAATTAATTACTATATATACTAAATAATAATTGTTACCATGATAATGATACATGGATGATTTAGACCTTACAGTGCCCTTTTTCACTACCTATGGTGTCCTTTATGATAGCTCTGGTTATGGGTGTAGCACAATTTTTAATTCAGAATTTGTGCAATACTTTGCTGTCAGTGTTGTTTCAATTCTCTTTATGTACTTTCCAAAGTCCATCAATCATACATGGATGGTGATTTTTGAGGGCCCAAATAAGCAACGCAATGTCTGCAAATGGTATAACATCAATTCCCATTTATATTTGCATCTTGCAAAGAACATGGCATTTTGACTAAGATTTGTGGCTGTATGTTTCTGTCTGAATGAGTCATACCTTATTGGCATACAGTGCACATAGGAAGTTGGTATTTCCTCTCAGTGTAATAGTAGCATTACATTAGCCTGACTTAATAGTTCACCTTGGCATTTTTTTCAACTTTTTATATGTTTAATTTACCATCATTACTAAGTGCCAACAATAACTCATTTTGTGACCTGGCTTTTTGGCAGAGGTTTTGCATCTTCCACAAACACCCTGTTTAAGGTGGCCTTATGAATTATAAACACAAAATAAATAAATTAATAATACTACCTACACTAAACAGTCTTTTATATCTGACATTGCCCTAGCCACCAACATGGGATCTAAGGACCATGGCCTTTAATTCCAACCCCAAGTAGTGGAACCTTGGCTATCTGGTTGGGGCCTGGCATATAGTGATGATAAATCAGGTAAGATTCCACCCACAATACTGGAATTAAGTACCAGGTGAAAAGCTTACCTGTTCTTGCTGTAGTGTGGTTCCTTCACTAGGGTGCCAACCCGCTGTTGACACACCCATGATCTATGCAGACACTTTCTATATGGAATATGCCCTCAACAGCCCCTTCACCTTATCAGTGTGGGATTCTAGCTATCAGTGTGAAAAGAGGTAAGTATGTTTTGGAAGTTTACATTTTCCTAAATTGACAATGTATTTCCAATAATACTTATTTCCACTGACACTCTCCCACCCTTCCTCCTCACTAAGAGCCAGTGTTAGAAACTGGGATTGAGTCAGTCTCGAAAAAGTAATAACATTGTCTGAATGAAGTTCTTATATACCATACCAGTATAGAGGGCGCATTGATGTAGGTGGAGAGGGTCACAAGATAAATGTTGCCAAGGGCAATTAATTGAGGTATAAAAGACTGGAGCAAGCAAGAAAAAAATCAGACCAATGCTTAGATGGGCAAAAGAAGAAACCCTGGCAGTTGAATAATAGCTATCAGGGTGAGAGACATAAGTATTATTGGAAATACATTTTCAGTATAATAAAATGTTAACTTTCACCCTGTACTTAAGCTTTTTATAGCCACATCAGATTTTTGTAAGAAAGCAACTTTAAGGGGTAATGATAACACCATTTACACTAGAATTATGGTTTTAAAAAAAATTACTACTGGTTATTATGACTAAGTGATGACATCATGCACTGCCCAGAAACATATAAGAGTGGATTTAGATTTAAACTGATCTTAGTAATAAAGTAGTTGTTGAGTTATCTCGACTGAAACAAGAAAAAGCAAGATGAACAAATTGGTGGGTTGGTCACTTTCTGGTTTGGTATCTTAGTGATGGTTTCTTGGTTTGTTTTTGAGCTTGTTGGGTAGAGAAACAAATGAAAGTGAGTGGCAATCATCGTTTAAAGTAAAGCTCTGTGTAACTTCTGATTTTTTAGTATGCATATTTGTCTTGTGCCTATTGAGGACCTTGGCCATCCTTACATGTGGTCTACTGACTCTTTGATGATTCAGGTCACTTTCAGTATTTTCCATAGAATGTTATGAACATTCTAACATCCTCTCGTTGGAAAAACAAAAAGAAACCATTTAAAAGGTTAATCATTTCATAGTTTGCAACAAAAACTTTACCCTCAACACCCTTTAAAGGACAAAATCCATTGTAAAATGTGTTTTTTCTTGTGCTTTTCGAGTTTCTGTTCACTTTGACCTTTTGGAATCAATCTAGATCCTGGAATCGGTGATCTCCAATCATTTTTTTATTCCCTGTGAGAGAAAAAATTTTGTTCTTTGCTTATTTATTTCACATTGTGTGAACCCTAATTTTTCTAAAACTTGCTATTTATTTGAAATAATTTTTCATACCTGTTTGTATAAATCAATTAGCTTAACATCTCTTTTTTCAATCAGTATCCAGGTGTCACCTTTATTTTACTTAAACACTTAAGTATAGTTTTATTTCTTTGTTTTTAACCATTCCTAAAGCAAAATATCCCTAACATCTTTTTACATAATGCTCCCGTTAACGGCCACCTTGTACCAGACGTGAAACGCACAGCAGTATATGAAAGAATAAACTGAACATTTCCTGGAAGACCAGATTACCTTCATGAAATAACTCAACTCCCTTTATATATCACTAATTTGATTACACCACCATTCCCAGTTTGCCTCTGAAGAAGAAAGGTCCACCTTTGAAAGTGCTTGGATTATAGGGTTTTTCACATTTTGTATTCACTTTGATCGATTACCTTTCTTTACTTAGTGTTACATTTATTTTGTCCTTGTTGCATAATCATTCCATCCACCTCACTACAACTTTGTTTTTTCATCACATTTCTTCTCTGTACTACTTCAGACTATGAATGCATTAAAAAAAGATGTTGCTCTTCAGGCATTTGTCAATGACAACCAAAGGAACCTAATTCATTCATGGATGTTAAGTTCGGTAATTATCCCTTTTGCTCACTTAGCAGAGCAAATGCTTGGCATGTGACACGTCTCAGATTTCAATTTGTGGTAAGGTATTATAAATATATATTAAACTACCATGATCTTATAGTGCTGTGTTGAACCATGGTACTGCTGTGTTCTGCTGATGTTTTTCAAACATGGTGCTACTGCTACCATGTGAATAGGTGTTTGGTTTCCTTCTGCTTACTTGTTCAGCTCAGGTCCCTCATCATTCTGCTTCTCATTGTCTCTGTGGAACTTGCCCCGCCTGTGGCTGATTTGGGCCAGCTCTTCCACTTCCATCGTTTGCTTTTGGCTTTTCTCTCCCTGATGTGGAACAGGCACCTACTTCTATTTTATTTGCTATGCTCATAATTCAGGTATGTGAATTTATATTTCTTTTGATTGTAATCATAATAACTCTTGGGTTGCTTTATTTCATGGGCCTCCTTCTGTCCTACTTCTATATTGATCAAAATTTTTCTTGTCCTCCTCATCTTTGTGACTCATTTGCTATGGCCTAAGATTAAGATCCTTATTTATCCTTTGAATATCAAACTTTTGTGTTCCTTTGTCTGATTGAGGTTCTCTTCTTTCTCCTTTTTTGACTTATTTTTTACTCCTTTGCTATATCTCCACCCTTCACCTTCTCATTGTGGCTGTTCATTGTTTGCCCATTTGGCTTCCTCTGCTATCTCTGTTTTGACTTAGTTTTTCTGATTTCAGGATCTCTTCAGTCTGGATGCTTTGCTTTTGGATATCTGCCTCCCTCTCTTCTTGACCTATGTCTTGCTTTTCTCACTACACCAGACTTTGGGGGTGTTCCTATTTCCTTAGAATTTTAGGTTGAGGTTGTTCACCAAAGATCTTCCTTCATCAATGGTGGATCATTGAGACAGTCAGTGGTAACTATTTCCTGGAGATGATTCTTGGCCCTGTAACAACCAAATATTCACATAACATGAGGAACTAAACACTACATTAATTATGTTAGGCATCATTGGATCCTGAAGAGCAGTCAGCATTGCCTCATAGGGAATACTTACCCAAAATTCACATCGAATGTATGAAAAGTATTAAATTCATCAAACTCTGCTCAATGTCCACCACTGAGATTGGTTTTTCTGCAAGACTGCTTTGGCGGTATATCTATATAATTGACTTGGATGTTTTTGCACCTTTTACACACACACACAACAAAAAAATAAAAACAAAAGCAGACAGCACTTGGTTTAGTTCTACTCTAACATCTGGCTCATGCTTTCTACCTTTGGTTGTAGGAACCTTTTCCATTATCTCTCAGTGGGGACACAATTCTAGATGATTATATCTAATGACAGTCGTCCACACTGGTGTTGTCCTCTATGCATATTCCTCCTGTCCTGTTCTTTTAGCAGAGCATAGGAAGAACCCTTACATCTCCAATCCTAAGTTGCTGAGGAAGGTTATCTCCAAAGCAGTTCCTGGTATATACGTCTTGTCAGAATGCAGGTGATGGCTCCTCCTCTCTCCATCTGTCATTATAGTATCTAGCTCATTTATGTATTTGATCAAGATGGAATTGCCTTAAGCCCTGGCAACACTACACATTCAAATATTCTTCCCACTTTTGTGACACAACCATCAGAACTGGATTTTTCTGATATTTTTTGCTTAATTGTCTCAATACATAAAAAACAGAACTATTGGGCAAAGATTATTCTCTTCCTGAGAAAGAGGTGGTCTCCTTCCAGATGCTACTCCACTAGGCAAACCCCAGTCTTATGGAAGTCACACCCTGTGAGCTTTCCCTCCATCATCTATATTGTGAGATTCTAGCTTTCAGTGGTGCAGAGAGGAAAATGTGTTTCTGAAACTAAAATTTTCTTTACCTGAAAATGTATTTCAAATAGAATCTCTCTCTCTCTCTCTCTGCACCACCTCTCACCCTTTCTCCTCACTTCCAGTGCATTTAATTTGCATTATCAATAATAAGCTTATGATCATGTGCTAGTGTTCACAAGAATTACTGTACATGGAGATTGTATCACCCTACTATTATGATTATGTCATAGGTTGGCACAGTACATGCAGACATATGTATGGGTGGGAGTTATAGGCCATGAGCAAGAAATTCCATGGCTGTCACACATGAGGTGCAGAGAGGTATCTGTTTGAAATACACTTTTATTCCTTAATTTTTTGTTTTAATGAAATTTAAAGCTTTTGTATTTTTCATTAAATTTTCTATTGTATTCTTCAATTTAAACTTTTTAATTTTGTGGTACTTGTTATTTTTTCATTTATGTCTAGTAAACCAATGCCATGTAGGTTTGATCTCCCCTGCTATTATTGTCTTCTTGTTAGGAACATGTTGACGTTGAATTAAAAGCAATGATTTCTAAATATTTCACAAGTCTGTCTTACATTAGTTTTAACTCATTGTCCCAGTCCACTGTTGATAAATCCGGCATTGTGGTGTCAAAATTGATATTCTGAAAATTAGGAACATCAAACTTAATTAATCAGTGATCACTCTTCCCTAAATGCTCATATCTTTAATTCTTTTAACTACATCCTCACTTTTGTGGTTAAAGTGGAGGTAAAATGGTATTATTTTTGGTTGGTTCCTTGATTATCTGAGACAGAATGTTATTCTAAATCAACTGGATTAGTTATTCCAATTAGTAACAGCCATGATCTTATTGTACAGTTTCTAACTCATATCATCTATTTGATTAGGTGGCTTATAGTAACTTTCAATTCAAATGTTTCTACCCTTGAAACCCTAGTTTGTAACCCATACAGATTCAATCCCTTCATTATCCTTTTCTTATGTCTTCAATCCCAACTGGCTGCTGTTCATCACTTACACAAAGAGCCACTTCACCCCTTCTTTTATGAGGTTTATCATTATTAAATAACTTATAACCTGGGATTTCAAAATAGTTCCTACTATCAGCGTACTTCAAGTCTAACCAGGTTTCAGTAATTCTCATTGTATATCATTGTCATCTATTTCAACTTCAACTTGTCAGTATTGTTCCTAATACTTTTAATCTTAGATTAATAGTTACTAAACTTATTGTTTCATTATTGTTTGAAAGGTATTTTAGGCTGTGTAAACATAGTAGAGTTTTGGCTTTAATAGACTGTTCCGCATATAGACGTTGAAGCATTGATAAACTGCAGAAACAAATGGGAGCAGCACCTTAAAGACTTCGTTGTGAAGAAGGTTTTGGTATAGAAGCTGAAATGTCACCCCACTGTAGAAATGGGTAGGAGCAGTCCATTAAAGCAAAAACTTTGCTTAGCATATTGTTATACTTGTTGAATAGATATAGTTTTTTTAAATCTGATAGACTTATCTAGCTCTAAAACTGTTATTTAACATGGTATACTCTATAATATTTATACAATTTCTTCTCTGCTCTAACAATATTATTCATTTGTTTATTTCCACTTTTTGAAGTTTACTCATAACTATGCAAGTTTAGTTTAAACTATTTTCATGAAATGTTTGAGCCTTCCAGGTATCCTGTTTCTTAATTGTCTACTTATTGGCCTATTTCTAGAATACAATTGATTATTACCCAGAAAACTGTACCATGGGTCCTACCAGCTTATCTGTTGATATAGTCATGTCCTTGATATTCTTTTATTTAAACTTTGGATCCTGCTAAGAAGTTCATTCTTGCTCATAACTGGAGGAAACACTCCTGAGATAGGCATACATCTATTTCTAACCTTATCCTTAATTCCAATATAACTTACCTCATCCTTCTGTTGTGGATGGCATGCACTTTCCTTTTAGCCCGGACCTGATGTAAAATTCCAAATGGATTGTAATCAGTGGGTCAACTCCAGTCCAGAACTAGGCAGCACTGGGAATGTATCATTCAGTCCATAGTAGGAGAAGGGTTCCAAACCAAATACATATGTGAGGACTTAACATGGTTGGTCCAGCTTCAACAAACATCACACATCCAGGAACCAAAATCCAGGTAGAGGTAGGAAGGAGGGTTCCCAGCCAGAGGGGTGAACTTCATGTGGTGGAATCATCCAGTCAATCACCAGGTGGCAGGACTAGAATTTGTTTGCTAGGTGCTAAAACATGGGACATATTATAGGGCATGTTGCCAGTTTAGTTGCTGGCACTGAAAAGCACCTTCTCTTTTCAATACATGTTGAAGTAAATGATGCTAGAAATTATAAATCAGAACAGTTGCTTAAAAAACATTAACTCTTCCAGAAATATTAACATTTTCCTACACTGAAAATGTTTTTGTGATAGATACTTCCCTACTTCCCTTTATATGCGAAAAGTTTCGCTAACCACAAGTCTTGTGCTCCCACTTACATCCACGTGTTTGTACATGTTACAGCTGTATTGTAGCATGCAAATAAACACCAATCGCAGTGAGAAACCTCCTCCTAGCACAGCTGACTCCCTCAATAGTGTAGAACCCAATCTTCACTTCGAGATTGTGCAAAAATAAGCACCAGAAGTGGGGTGGACAGATGGGAAGTGTGAGAGAGGTAAGTATCTATCAGAAATACATTTTCAGTGTAGGAAAATGTTAACTTCCAATATGTTAACTTACCTCTTCTCACATAATAGCTAGAGTCCCACATTGAAAAGGAGGAGGGATGAGTGCAAAGTAGAAAATTGTAGATTCTATACTACAAATAACTTTATTAATAAACTTGAGAGAGGCAACCACTATGTAAATTCTTGATTATCTTCTTCTTCTTCTAATTGTTATTTTTTGTAGGTAAACATTGGTCAGCAAGTTGCTGTAAACACTGCCACTGCCCACCCTCATTTCGAACATGATGGAACAGTGTACAACTTGGGAAGTTCCCTGGCTTCTTCAAGACCACTTTATAATATTATCAAGTTTCCTTCAACAACTAGTGAGTATATGGTATTTGGATATGCCATAGAGGGATTCTAAAACATCTTACTTTATTCATTTTCTCATTTTTATAAACCTGGCAGCCATTTCAGTTTTCAGCCTTGCTACTGTTGGCAGAGTATATGTCACATTTGCACTCATACCTTTGCTACTTCTCGTAAATCTAACGATTTTCTAAATTTGCTACTAGATTTTAGTGTTATTCTGTATTGATATTTGTAGTATTACCAAAGTACTGTATTAATATTTGTTTTATGGACATCACACATTTGTTTCCCCAAGAATTGAAAAGGGCAGGGATAAGAATATGTAAGCAGGGCCTGAACTGGAGAAGGCCTATAGTAGAGAAAAGTTTAATATCTGAATGGCAAATGGTGATTTCTTTTGCATTTCAGGCTTTTATTTCTTAAAAATAACACCTTAAACTTGAAAGTATTATACATATTCTACCCAACAAAAGTAGTTATGACATTGCTCCATGACCTGACCTGCCCTCACCTTCCCACTACTTTGCTGATTGTGACTCTTACCACAACACAATGAACACTACATCCAGTAAAAGACAATATTCACAGACACGTAAAATGTGAAGCAAATAATATATCTGTCTACTTTCTTGCCAAGAAAAGACAATGACAGCCTGAAGTTACTGCTTTAATCTTGAATTGATTTGTCTTGTTTGGTTGCACATATAACATCTGATGCATATTAAGTAGAGATAAAGTATTGAACAATTGTTCAAGGTAATTTTACTATTTTTGATATATACATGAATAAACTTGCCAGTCGTAGAGTCTTTGTTTTATCAAGTTATTTTAGTGCTTTATTTTTTTAGTCAGTTATTTCACTTTTTAATGGATTTGATTCAGATTATATGTGATTTTAATAGTGTCATGACAAGATGTTATTTGTTTGCCAAGAAATTTAATGTTACTTTTGTGTGTTAATGCAGTTGTTCTGTAAAATCTTGGTGAACACCTTCAGAAGGTCTAAAAAAGTTCATGATGATGTATATCTAAATGGTGCAACAAGATTCTGTGATGAACACAGATCACTGGAAATGGTAGAAAGTGCATGTATTTTAACATTTACCAACATTCTAATATATAAGATTTGAATCAGTAGTGCTTATGTATATTACAAGTATATATATATATAAAGAACAAAAATCTGTATGTCTGTATGTGTGCTAGTTATCTAACTACTCCTAGGTTGCTGGGCCAATCTCAACCGAACTTTGTGGGATGATAGTTTGGAACAAGGGGCATGTTAATGGGAGGTTCACAACCCCCTCCACCCCCTATTATTGCTATTATTTTTATCTTTGACATAATTTACATTAAGTTAACGTCCTTACACTTTATTAAATTAAACAAACACACACACTGTGGGGAGAGGGCACACATATATCTTATATATTTATGGAGGAAAGCTTTTGAAAAAAAATGGCTTCCACAATTGCAATAACACATAAACTCAGCGGAAGTTTCTTCTCCACAGCCACCATAAGGTTGATATGAAGAACCATTTTGTGAGTTCTACCAATTTCCTACTCTGACCTTTCAACTTTGGCCCATAAGACATTTCTGTGACCAATGATCATTTATTAATTAATCACATGAAACACTGGGAAAGGACCTTAAGAGCTGGGTGTTGAAAGCATGTAACAGAAAGTACCTCTACTACCACTACTTTGGCCATTATCTCTTCCTACAAAAGTATATACATATTGAGGTCTTAAAGCTTATACAAAACTTTTGGTAAGGTAATAATGAATACTTTAATAATATCTTATAGATATATTGTGTGAAAGTTAAGATTTTTTAAAGTTCATAACCTGGAAAGGAGGGGTACCTCAGCTTGTAATTATATAAACCAAGAAAATCTATATTTCATTACAGTTTGTAGTACTGGGCAACTTTCAGGATTAGATCCTGGAGGAGGAAGAAATATTTTGCAACTAGTTTTCAAAATGTAGTATGCAATCATATCATATTTTTCTACTCCCTTGGTTAATATATACATTTTTCAAAATTTCTGTGCACTTTGAGCATATGTTCTTCATACAGAAAGTTGGTCAAAGGAACAACTGAGTTTCTCTCACCCCTGTTCTCACCTAGGAAAGATGGCTATCACATAGAACATACTGTATAGAAGAGACAGTGATTTTGTTTCTATATGCAAGTCAGGTGGTGCCTCATGGTGTTTTCATGTGAGAGTGACCATCAGTCATGTGAGTGATGCTTGTGCCCTGAGAAGAATAGCATTGTTGATATGTTTCTCAATCAGGTACAAAATGATGATTGAGAAAAACATTGATATGATCATGGCAGATACTGATTGGATGAAAAATGCCCTCCAGTACAGGTGCCTAAGTACACTTGCCTTTAAGCATTAATTGTGTTTATATATGGGAAATCAAGATTGTTTACTTTGTGACACCTTGTTTCTAGTTTCTTTCTTTGCTTGAAACTTAGTCTATGTTAAGAGGGCTCTAATTTTTCATAGAACATATTCTACCAAATCTCCAGTTATTCTGTGGCTCCTGCCCAATTATTTGAAGGGAAATTGGTGAATCTAAGAATATCATATTAATCCAAATTTTAAGATTCTGATTGATATGCTAAATTCAATACAATAAGTTTTTCTTAGTGTTATGCTTTTGTTGAGTATATTTTTGTATTCAGTTCCTTCTAACCTTCTGCTAACAACAAAAAAATAAGAATGCTGGTAAATCTTTTTTGAATGTATACATAACTATTCTAAATGATGTTTCATCTTTTTTTTTTTTGAAGAAATTGAAGACCATGTATATATATAATTTCAATTCAAAACTTACCATAGTGTTTATTTAACTGTGTGAGGTTTTGAGTATCCTTATTGTTAGGTTAGATATTTTTAGAACTTTATCTTCGTAAGCCTAAAATTACCCATTTTACTCCATTAATATTGTATAATATTGTATACTGTTTTTATGAAATATTGAAAGAATGAAAATAAATTCAGTAAGAATTATCATTTAATTTAAAATTACAAACAATACTAAATGAAGTGACATGTTCTTTCTTTCTGGCCCGGCATGGCCAGATGGTTAAGGCCCTCGACTCACAATCTGAGGGTCGCGGGTTCGAATCCCTGTCACACCAAACATGCTTGCCCTTTCAGCCGTGGGGGCGTTATAATGTGACGGTCAATCCCACTATTCGTTAGTAAAAGAGTAGCCCAAGAGTTGGCGGTGGGTGGTGATGACTAGCTGCCTTCTCTCTAGTCTTACACTGCTAAATTAGGGACGGCTAGCACAGATAGCCCTCATGTAGCTTTGCGCAAAATTCAAAAACAAACAAACAAATCTTTCTTTCTAAACAGAAAAGAACCACCATATGTACTGAAACATAAATACTTTTCTGTATACATTGTTATGTACTCATTGTTTTTATTGCTTTTAAGATTTTTCATAAGCATTAAAAATGACAACCAAATGGCACACTATAATTTCACATACATTCAGTATGATTGTTGTGAAACATTACAAAAACTCACTGTTCAATTAAATCTTGTATTTACCATTATAAACTAACTGAACCCAAAGTTGAAATTACAAGCTATAGATGTTGAATTTAGTGTAAATACAATAACAAGGTAAAAATTAATTGAAATTTAGATAATTAAAATGTAGGAAATGAAATAGTTTAAACTCCATAAGGCATTAACCAATAAAAAATATTGTATCAAGAAATTTTTAAACAAAATTTATATATAGCAAACAGAAAAACAGTAAATTTATTTAAATCTAATAAAATGTAAATATTAAGCAATGCATTAAGAACAGTATTCATCCTCAAAACATACAGTGCACAATATCGATAAAAATCATGTAACAATGATAATCACATTAATTGTTTTTTCTTTTCTAGTAACTGTAATTACAACTAACTCCAAAAAAAGTATATTTAATAACATCAACATTTTGGTAATTTACCTTAACCAGGATGTTTTTATTCCAAACCTGAAAATTACCAAGATTAACTAATTTGTCTAGGAAACATAATGAATTAGAAAAGTCAAAATTTGAAGAGGACACTGTTGTCTTTTCCATTCCAACTCAAGCAAAAGGAAATCCTGGCTATCTTCAGAATATTTTCATATTGTGACCACTGTTTTATAATATAAGTTGGATGATGTTTAACAGGAAAGGTGTTGCAATAATAGGGCCACATGTAAGACTGGACATTTGTTTCTTTTAAAATGTCTAAACTTGATTGTTAGTAATTAAAAATAATTTCATGTTACTTCAGCTGAAAGGGCAGAACAGACCATACATATAAGTTGTAAGACATATTTTTATGTTGATTCTTAGGTTTCTGCTGTTCAAAGATTATTGTTACTGTGTTAGTAAATTATTTCTAACATATACAGTTGTACTTAGACATTTTTTCCAGTTCATATAATGTGTATGTATTTTAAATACAGTGTTTTTTTTATCAATAAAGACATTTATCAGTTGAAACAAACAAATATTTCAAAGTTTTTTTTTATAATTTGCATCTGATAATTTATTACAGAATCAGGAAAGTTAAAATTCGATGAGGGCACTGTCATCTGTTCCATCCCAGCTCTGTCAAAAAGAAATCCTAGTTATTTTCATAGTTTTGCAATGACAGAAAACTACTTTGTGTTTGTTGAGCAACCCTTAACTATAAACCTAATGAAGTTTGGATTTTCATCATTTACTGGGAGTACTTTTATGGACTGCATGAATTGGACTTCTAATTATCAGGTAGAATATATTTTAACTCAAAATATAAAAATATTTAAATTTCAGAACATTTTTAGTATTAAACTTGTTCCTTGGGTTTCATTAAACTGAGTTGAGGATATTTAGTAATTAGCATGATGATAAAAATTTATAATTTATAAAAACTTTTTTTATAGAACAGATTTCATGTGATCAAGCGATCTACAGGAGAAGTTTTTCCGACTGTATATGTTGCAGAACCCTTCTTTACATTTCATCACATCAATGCTTACGAAGAAAATGAACATATAATAGTGGATGCTTGCTGCTATCAAGATGCCAGTGTCATTAAGGCCCTGCTTGTGGTGGAAATGGAGAAAGGGGAGAAAGATAGGAAGTCATATGGTGAAAAAATTCTCAGTCAGGCACGGAGATATGTCATTCCTTTAAAGATATCTAATGATGTAAGTAGAAATAAGATGACACCATAAAATATAAGGATGTAGTTGTTAGGAAATGAATCTAAATCAGTCCAATGATTTTCTTGTTGGAGAGAAAATATTAAGTAGTATTTACTTTGTCAATTTTATATTAAACAGGTTTTTAAATGACTGTAAGATGTTCTTGTCAGACACTGATAAATGTAATTGATCTAGTGGTTAGTAGTGATACAGTAGGGCAGTTACTAACATCATATAAAGACAGCTACAAATAAATTAATCAATGTTGCATAAGGAGCGAAAATGAAAAATCTTACATTAACTGATCTTTGTAAGGTACAAATTATCCTTTAGTGACACCTAATGAGTAGTTTTTACATTAGTTTAGGTAGTGCTATTTAATAAAAGAATAAACTGTGTACTTTGTTATTTAATTTCATGTGAACTGTATTGATTAACATACTTTCTTTTATTCACAATTTCTGTGCATTATTTGGTTTTTAAAGAACTTAAAGTTGTCTTTTACCTATAGGTTTATTTTAGGTAAGCAGAACTGTGGTAGTATTGCATTGAATGGTTGTATGAAGTATGTCAATCCATTTTTATTCTTAAAAATAATGAAAAAGACATTACATACTCATAAACTTTGCATACATATATTTTTAACTTATCATGCATCTTCTTAGGTTGTTCTCTCTCTGATTTTGAATATGCAATGGACATATGAGAACTAGGGAAGCAAACAGCTGCAATTAATGTGGCTTTTATTGCAGATCTTAAGCTTGATGATATTTAAGTTTAAGATCACTTTACAAATAATGAAAGTGTGAGAAGCCTAAGGTCATTGATCATTTGAAATATTAAGTGTATTGTTCACCCAGAGGCATATATGTTTGAAACAAATGTTAAAGTTAACCTCAGCTTGTTCTGAAAGTAAATGTTATAGTTACAATATATAAACATGGCCCATTCTACAGTGAAAATCCAGGTGATTATGAGAGACTTATTTGATTCATTTTTATGATTTCTTTTATGTTGGTTCCCTTTGTAAAAATATAACTGTTTGACAGCTAGCATTAAAAAGTATTAGAACACAGCTGGTCAAGATGCTTAGGTATGTTTTTTTTATTGTTCTTAAATATCATTCCAGGAACAGAATCCTAAAACCAACATTATTCAACTTGAGAGCTCTCAGGCAGAAGCTAATGTGCAGGATAATGGAGATGTGTTTTTGAAGTACGAAGAACTCACAGAAGAAGGTAGCTTGGATATGTCTTCACAGATATATCAAACATTTACTAGTGTAAACCTGTTTTATTTATAGTAGAATTTGTTAGTCTGTAAGTAACAATACTTAAACAACTTGCGTTTCATATACCTCGTCCATAAAAAAAAAAAAATTATACTATTTATATGGTATAGAATCAAATTCTATGCAAATTTTTTTAATTATACTAAACTATTTTGTGGTTTTATTAGAAATATATTTTAACACTGATTTTGATTTATAAGAGATTAAAAGGCATTTTTAACATAAAAGATAAAATTTCAGCTTGTTTACTGACATGTCATTGATACTTTGATACTTCTGATATGGTAAATTACCTCCTCTTACATAAATAGCTATTCTCGTTCAGTGCTGCCCTCTATATACAAAAAATTGTTTGTCTGTGGGAAGATTTTTGCCTTTATTTTCTTGAGAGATTGATTGTCCAATGAACTCATGGATTACCTTCCAAGCCTTTACTGCAGAATCCTACCCCCACCAAATGGCTGGGTTTTGGACTGTAGTTGACTTGTCAGCAGTATGATCCTCCTTCCTAGCCCCACATGAATTTCTGTACCCAGTGGCTGGGTTTTAGATTGTAGTTGAATTACCAATGGTATGATCCTCATCCTACCCCCGCATGGATGTTGGTTCCCAGCGGCATGGATTTTGGATGTAGTTCACTTGCCGTGTATAGTTTGTCACATCCTAGCCACTCTACACCTAGGGGCACATCTTTTAATCTTACCCACTTTTATGTTTTCTGAGATTCAGTTTATTGAACAATGTATGGTTCAGATCACTATCCTGCCATAGTTCTCTCTCATTTGGTTGTGTTCCTCCATCTTTTCACAATGGGCAAAGAGTATACCTGGTTCAGAAGTGGTGCGGTCTCCCACGTATGACCTTCGCCTCTGAAGATTTTCTTTTGGAAAGTGTCCTTTGGATGTTTTAGAAGGATGCTTCTTTCTTTCCCATGCACAGGTCCCTCCACCTATTCAGTATGGGATTCTAGCTATTTGTGTGAGAGTAGGTAATGTACCATATTGCAAGTTATAATTTTCCTGTACTGAAAATTTCTTCTCACGCTTCCCACCCTTCCTCCCCACAGAAAACTGGTGCTTCCGTTTTTTGCCAACATTTGAAGTGATAATTCTGTAGAATTGAATAGAGGGAGTCACATGCATCAAGAGAATGTGTCACACTCTTATTGGTGGAGGATTGTCGCATGATAATTTGAGTGCAATATCATTGGAATTAGTCTAATTTTTGCCTAATTCCCAAGTGAAGATTGGGTTCTACAGGATAGAGGGAGTCAGTTGCACTAAGAGGGTTTTTTGCACTCCTATTGATGCTCATTTGCATGCTACAATACAGCTGTAACACATGCAAGCACGTGGATGTAGGTGGGACTACATGGCTTGTTTTGCATTTTGAAAACAAACTTTTTGATTGCTTTAACATGAATCCCATTGTGACTGCAATAGCATCATTTGCATTTCATGCAAACATCACTGTTACTGTCAGGGTTTTGTATATGGGCTTGGATTCTTTACAGTAGGTGTCTGTAACTTAGCGATAAATTCAAACAATAAATGGATAGCACACAATTCACTTGTTTTTAAATAATATATTCAAAACAAGTCAAATGTGTGCACAAAAGTTCTTTACACTATAGGATATCACAGTTGTATCTAAAACTCTAAATAATTCTCTTTTTTTCTTCTGTTATCACAATATAATTAGTGATAAGTTAATTTACTTTACCCCGTGGGCTACCACGGTTGCATACAGAGCTTTAAATTATTCTCTTTTATGTCAAAAGTCCACACGGGCTAGTTCAGTTATCTTAGAACCTAACTGACAAGATGAATTATTTCTCTTTAACTCTGTTAAACTGTGAAACTCACTTTAGAATATTGCTTGTTACAGCTAAACTAACAATCACGCATTCTAACTTCGCTTTCACTAACTTAACGTTTTGTGACTTCTTTAGAAATCGTGTCACAGCTAAACTGCCAATCAGTTAGTCTAGATATGTCTAATTGTCTCTCACTTAACTCTGTATCTGCAGGAATTTATAACATGCTACAGAAAAATCTAGAAATATCTAGCTCTCTAGTGGCAACAATATTACAAACAAGGAGAAAAACTTATATATAAGTTTTGAGTATGATGTTGTGAAGAATGTTACGAAAGCCTAGTACAACAACTAAATGCATATACAACGTACAAATCATACCGAGTTACTTAATGAAACTTGTCACAACTATCACTTTTAAAATAATTAACTTTCATTACAAAAACTAAATAATAACTCTTAAACTAAACGCTCTTGTATGTCCAACACTTACCAACCTTGCATTTACAACTGAAACTAAGGTAAACATGATTTTTGGACATTAAATGTATATTGACCAATTTAGCACTGAAAATATGCTATCTGTTGGAAAATTTTGTTGCAAAAGGCAGTGGACTATAACCCAAATCTTGATGGGAAGAATCCATTTTCAAATGAAGATTTCTCTATGAGAGGTGAATTGATGAGCACAAAAGTTGTATCAATCAAAAGCTCTAAACTAAATTATCATTGAAAGGCAGTTCTAATGTTTTTTATCATTTGTCTGATACTTTGATTATTAAAAAAGCCACTAATATCTATTTAATCAGCTACCAATTTTAGTGTTAAATAAATAAAAAATAGTAACTTAGACAGATATTAGAACTACTACTTTTAAAAGTCTGCTAGGGATGCTTGGGTGATAACAAGCTGATTTAAATGGAAGTTGATTGGGCTAATGATGGCTGTGTTTAATATTAAAGATTTATATTTCCTTCATTAGTGAGTGCAACATTTATATTTTTGGTTTATGATATATAAAGATATGTTTTAGTTATTAATAATCCTTAAAAATAAAAAATGATAATAAAACAATACAGAATATTTATAATGGTGTAGGTTGTATGTATATCTTTTAATAAATTCAAAGATTTAATAAATACAAATAAACAAACTAGAAATCACCATTGTCACAGTAATTTTATAGGATTTTATATATATCATTTTTTGGTTCCAAGTTGTTTGTAATTTTATTGTGCATTTCAATCGTTAAAGAATTATGATTAATGAAATTCAACATTATCACTAGGTCCATTACTTTGTGAATTACCAAGAATTAACTATGATGAGTTCAATGGAAAAAAGTACAAGTACTTTTATGCTCTTGGAAAATTATCAGAAAATCTACAAACATACTTAGTAAGTATTTTTAAAGTTTACGTTTTATATTCAGCTTAATCTAGTGAAGTATTTTTGATAGAAATGATGTTCTGGTTCCTGAGCTGTAAATAACAGTTGGTCGTCAGACAGTGTCTGACAAAATTTTGGATACATTTAATCAATGTGTAAGTTTCATTGGACACAATGACTTCCATTCAAACAAATTATCTTTCTGATTGGGAAAAATTCAAAACTTCCTTACCAAAGCTATTCTTAATTAAGCAATTGAGTAAGTACTTTTTTATTACCATATATGCTGAAAAGAACATCAAAAGAAACTAAAAAAGAATTCCCAGATCTTTGATGTGGTCCAGAGTCTTTGAAGTTTCACATTAGATTGCTTTGTCGTTCTCAGTAGGAACTTCAGCAAACTACTTTACTGCAAAGTTATAAATTACCACTGAAATCATAATATTGTTATAAATAGTTTATAACATACTCTATTTAATCATATTTAAATGTTGCCTATAGCTATTTTCAGAACTGTGCTTCATTAGTAAGTTTCAGGACAGTTACTGTGACATCACAAAGCAGGAACTAAGGCTGTAGTAAATTAATAATAAGATCAGCGGATGATAGTTTCTTAACAAATATAAACCTTTACTTTGAGGTAGGCAGAAAAATCCTAAAAAAATCAATAAGTGCATTCTTTATAGACGAGACTCCTCAGAGCTGCACAGAAGTGAAAGTTTGAGCATTTTGTAATTTTTCTTTGCAAATTACACTAAATAAATGTTACAACATTACAAAATATTGATTCTGAAAAAGTTTTGTGTTAAACATTGTTTAAATAAGAGTTGGAATTATTGTTTTTACTTAGATCTTGAAATTTGATATTTAGATATGCACTCAACAACAGGAAGGTATTTGCTGGTTATGATAGTGTTATATTAAATTTTTCTCTGCAATTCAAAATCATTTTACTATCACTGTTCTTTTCAACTTACTTTTTGATGGAAGTTTTTGTATACAGTAAAAATGTCTTATTGTAAAATTGTCAGAATAGGTGTCCCCCCCCCCCCCTCCTCTCTTTCTCGTACTACTATCTACTACTACGTAGTAGTAGTATTAGTAGTAGTCGTAG